CACATTAAATACCTCGGTAAATGGAACTGACGGGACAACTGTCACGTACGTCACAATCGAACTCGATGCAAACATTAGTGTATATCTAATTGTACCGTTCGAAAATCATATCGTTTCCCGTTACATCCTTCCCGAGAAACGAGGGGACTATCTGTATACGGTCAAAACTGATTAGCCCGTCATACAGACTGGTCGAGATGATAATACTTCGATCGAAGGTATCTGCGTAATGTCAGGTCGACGTCCGAAGTAAGGACGTCAAGCTTCGAGCTCTAAGATCGATCAATGACAAGTTCGGTATCATTATCGAGCTCATATCCAAATCGAACTACGAGGCGAAGCGAAATTGTCGAAGATGCATAGACTGACCAACACCAACCCGAATATCCAAACTCCGAGTCAGAATCGAGCTCGAGTCAAGGCCGATGGCTCGAGTCAATACCGAGCTCGAGTAAGTATCGACCTCACAGACAAGAGCCGTTGCAACCGCACTAGGGGAGAGAATCCTGGCGGGAATTAGGGAAAAGCTAATTCATCATGGGTTCCCCACTATGTATTTTTTATTATATCCAAAGTAGGATTCCTTTACTATAAAGAGGATGATTGTTGTAAGCATGAGGATGGACACATTGTAACAAAAAGACTAGTTCTCATATTGAAAGATCAACTCCTTGAGCTCATTTTACTTTATCTTATTTAGTTCTTTCATTTTCCTCCTTTCAACCGTTTTTATCTTTCATTCATATAGTTAAAATTGTATATTTCTATTTATTTTTACGATCTGTATCAAGTAATACCATATATCCTTAGAACTACTTACAAATTCAACTCTATCCGATTTTCCGGGTAAACAACTTAGTTTCTTTTTCCTCGTAGTTAACTAGTTATATAGAGTTTTTCAATGGATATTTTTTTAGTTTTTCATTTGGCGTCCAGCATCAACTTTGAAGTCTGACTAATTATCATTTAAAAGCCTCATTTTTCAAAATTTATTTAGTTTTCCATTTAGGGTCCAATAACAGCTTTTCGGTCAGACTAGACATTCGCGTCGAGAAGTCTCATTATTGAAAAAAATATATTTTCTCATTCGCTCTAGTATTTAGCTTTAGGGTCCAACTAATCATTCTTGTCGAGAAGTCTCATTTTGGGAAACTCTTTCTAGTTTCCTATTCAATGTTTGGTTTGGATCCGACTCATCATTCCCGTCGAAAAGTCTCATTTTGGAGAACTTTTTCTTTTAGTTTACCACTTTATTTCTTACTAAATGTGATTTATTATAAATAGAATTCTATTTAAGGTGAATGTATATATTTTAGAGAGATTTTAGGATTTGTTACTCTGTGGCTAAGTCACTTTTTCAGTTTTTCTCTATAAATAGAGGGATTTTATTCTATTGTAATTCATCTCAAATCAATAAAATTTTCTTTCTACTTTTCTCTGTAACTCTTCTTCTTCTTTTATTATTTTATAACACGTTATCAGCACGAAACTCTAACTAATTGAGTAGAAGCATCTACTTTGGTCACCAAGCTTCGGGATACATGCGTTGTGCTCAACTTATACATAATATTGAGCATAGTGATTGTCAATTGTTGCATGAACTTCCTTTAGGAATAAATTCTGAATTTAAGGTAAGTATTTTTCCTTATTTTTCTCTTTTAAATTCTTGAAATTCTATAATTTGATTTTAAATACAAGAAAAGAACATAAATTTGATTATAACTCTAATAGAGTTTGTGAGAAATTCTAACCACCCGAAGTGGTAAAATTTCTATGTCTTGTCGTGATCAAATTCATGTATGATTATGAGCAGAAGAAGTGAAAACTCGTGACATTGAATTTGCTTCATTCTCGTTCCTTTAAGAGAATGTGGTAGCAATATGTAATAAGTCTGAAAGAAGACAAGATTGTTACTGTGAAGGTAACAATGGATGCGGACGTGACAATATACGAAATTATAATCGTTATCATTGTGGTAATGAGAATAATAAGGATTCATAAAATAATCCTTCACTTTGTGAAAGTAATGTTTGTCATCGATTTGACATGTGATTTTGTAAAACACTTATAGATGATTATGGTCTATTCATGATGTGAATGTGACAATAAGTGATTTATGAATACATGTTTATTCTTGGAAGAATATGAGCGTGCTAGTGGTAGTGAATATATCATACTCACCTCCAGAATGGGGTTTGAGATGAAATAAGAAAATAATATCATTATTACGGCATGAATGGTCATTGGTCACGTACCTATTGTACACCAAAATATTTTGTCTATTAAAGGACAATAGTAATGTAACAAACTGATCTTACATATAATATTGACCATGATCATAATGGTATAATATTTTCTTTAAAAGAGATATTTACCATATAGATGTTGATAAATATATGGTAGTACACAATTAATTGAGAGCTCTGGAAGAGCCAATTATTACTATTTTTGAAGAATAAAATTGATTATCAATAAGACATTGTGTTGTAGTAAGTCTTAAAGAAACTTATTAAGTTTCTAAAGTATTCGCGAAAGCGGCTGGTTATATTGAGGCTATAAATAATGAGAATATTTAATATCTTTATATTACTACACTGTGGCAAGATAATATGCATATAAAAAAACTACCTGCTTTATTGCCTGATTTGTACTACATAACTAAAAAAATATGGTAAAATTATATGACACGGTCAAATGGATGTTTATTGATATAAAAACCTATGTCATAGTAAACTGGGAGTTTAATTAATAATTGCACATGTCATGAAGTAATCGTGGAGTTTACTAATACATATAGCTTTATCAGGCATGACTTGTTGAACAATCTTGATTTAAGTATGATGTGCAAAATAAATGAGAATTCACATGGGTAAGTGTTGAAGAAGATTCTTTATGAATTCTCTAGTGTTGCTTGTTCTCGCGATTATTATACCAACTAAAATTGGGTTTAAATTTCTTGAGTTCTGAAATTTATCAAATATGAATATTAGCTCATTCACCTGCCATGTAAACCTTTTAAAGATGCATCTATGAGATAGTTACATGTGAATTTATTATTAACTCGCAACCTAGAGTGTGTGAAGTAACTTGCTCAATAATTTAATTTGGATCATAATTTTCAGATTTTTTATTCTAGACAATTCATCTTGGTAAATTAGTTTACATCACAGTTGGTTTAGCAAAATAATTTATTGAGTGCCTCCACTTAATAGCTAAACTATTATTTATGAAAACAAAGTTATCTATATTAGCTTGATATTCGTTATATACGAAAGTATATTACATTCTCCCCTCATAAGTGGTTCAATGTTATGAACCAAATAATTCCATCTTATTATTATTGATACGCGGTATATATTTTGATTAACACCATAATGCACAAATGCGGGTTTCCAAAAATTGATGAAGCAAGTTAGTTTTCCTAACATGAGGGGGAGACATGATAAACAGAGAAAAAGTTACGTGGAATGAATTATCATTTGTACATCTAGATCCTCAAATAAGATAATATGAACTTGAAGTTCATAGAAAGATAATTCATCTGCATTATAATGCAAAGCATGCCAGACACATTTACTGACCCAAAGAAAGTAATTATATTCTTGCTTCAAATGCACTTATTAGAATAAGTCCTAGAAGGACAAAGTCTATGGTACGCGTAAAGCGTATAGACAAATCAGTTTCAAATAAAATTCTTGATAAAGAAGATGAGCAAATGTTCAAAATGATCATAATAAGGAGGCAAGTGATCTAGAAGATCATATGAAATAACACTTCATAAAATCTAAGGAGAGGTTCGGGTATATGAAAATATGAATGAAGAGATTTTTATGTTATGTATTTATGAAATAAATATTGAAACCAATATAAAACGTTCGTCGTCAATATCTATGATAGCACTAAGTATAGATGAGGATCTTAAGTCTGTCGACACAAAAATATTGACAAAATGGAAGAGACAAAATTCGAATATTATTGGTTTCATATGAAAGATATGTAGTTTTGGACATGTAGTTCGAACATTCGAAAGTATAAAGTCAATGGTGTGTGCAGTCATCTTCATATATCTTATATGCCTGGCATGACATGAAAATGTAAACCTAAAGTCCATGTATATGGTTTATATGACTTAACTTATGACAATCCCTGAAGAATTTAAATCGCTTAAAGCATATACAATTCTTGATCCTGAAGTACCACATCCTAAGTGCAATTTGTGCACATACGTATTTTGCTATAACTATAAGCATGATAATGTGATAGCGAGAATACCTCCATGGAGATATTGAAAAGGCTATTCCACGACACTATATGAAGACATTACATATATACAAGAATGATTATTTCAAGGCACAACATATTCACTCAAGTGACAATATGACTGATTTGTTCACCAAATCTCTACTGACGTCAACCTTCAAGAAGTTGGTATACAAGATTGGGATGCAGTAGCTCAAGAATTTGAATTGATGCTCTCATTAGGGGGAGTTAATACGCGTTGTACTCTTTTTCACTTACAAGGTTTAGTCCCACTGAGTTTTTCTTGCAAGGTTTTTAACGAGGCAACCAAAAAGCATATTTCTAAACACGTGTACTCTTTTTTCTTCTCTAATTTTTTTCCAACTGGGTTTTATTTTAGTTAAGGTTTTAACGAGGCACATTATCTGTTGAATAGACATTCAAAGGAGAGTGTTATAAATATAATTGTATTTAAGGTGAATGTCTATATTTTAGAGAGATTTTAGTGTTTGTTATTTTGTGGCTAAGTCACTTTTTTCTTATAAATAAAAAGATTTTATTCTATTATAATTCATCCCAAATTAATAAAAAAAAATCTATCTATATTTATGCAATACTTTTTCTTTTATTATTTTATAATATGAGTATATTTTTAAAGCTGGACTCAATACACAAGAATGGAGGGACCCACCACGACCTTTGGTGGTTTGGCGTGGACAAATACTCCTTTCCTTATAAAGCCAACCAAACGACCCCTTAAATGGATAAAACCTCTTAAAACCTTGGGCTTCGCCTTCTCACCATATCACACTGTAAACTTCAGCCAACTCCAAATGCTATCTTCAGTACAAACTCCTCGCCTTCTCCGTTTCCCTAATCTTCATTCCCTCTCTTTGAAATGCCTCCACACATCTCAATCCCAGCTCACCACCCCCCTAACTACCCCCACCACCCTACCCCCATCACCTTCCCAAATCCTCACAAACCGTAAATCCCTTTTATCCCGTGAAATCACAGCGGTTGATCTCGCCACTACTTTTCTCCAACGCTTACGCCACACTGAACCGCAGCTCAAGAGCTTTTTATATGTATCCGACGTTGTTTTGAAGGAGGCTGAAGAGATTGATAGGAAAATTGCTAACAATGAGGAGTTGGGCCCACTTGCTGGGGTTTTAGTTGGGGTTAAGGATAATATTTGTACGGCTGATATGCCTTCAACTGCAGGGTCCAAGATTTTGGAAAATTATAAACCCCCATTTGACGCTACTGCTGTTGGGAAAATGAAAAAGTGTGGTGCCATTGTTATTGGGAAAACTAATATGGATGAGTTTGGTATGGGGAGTACCACCGAAGGCTCCGCCTATCAGGTACTCAGGTCCGTTTTAAATTTACGTGAACCTATTTGCTTTGATTATGTATGGAGTTGTTTAAGAAAGAAATGATAGACTTTTGAAATTTTGTGGTCCTAAATATGTAATAATATTTGTATGGGAGTAAGACGTTTGAAACTTGTGAAAACATACCATAGTATTTATGTGGCTATAGATGCTTTTTATTAAGGTTAAAATGATTAGTTTAAGTAAAATTATTTTCAAATTTAGTAAAAGGTCATTCTTTTTTTTTTTTAACGGACTAAAAAGGAAATAGGGTCATTTAATCCTCATTTGGCTCAATAAGTTGCTCGAGTTTAGGAATTGTCATTCGCTGAAGAAATGGATATTCCCAAGATTTCTTTTTTTATGCAAAATAAATGGCATTAAATCATGAGTTTCACCCTTGCAACAAATTTAAGTGGAGAAGGGTAAAGGGGCAGGACCATTATTCACCGAGATTTCAACTGTTTACTACTGGCTCTTGGGATTTCTCGGTTATCAACAATAAAATATAAAACAAAATGACAAAATAACATTCCCAATTTTTTTTTTTTTTTTTTTTTTTTTTTTTGATAAGGTGAACATTTTAATAACAATTGGGGAGACCCCGTGTACAAGCCATATAACAAAAAAAGAGAACCTACACCAAAATATGGTTCTCAACAAAAGAGGCCCAATCCTCTTTTGCTAGTAGGTATATTTTTGTATCACATTCTATCCCACACAATAAAACATAGATCTCCATATAAGTTATGCCAGTATTAGTAACACAAAGTTTTATACGGGAAATCAAATTATATGTTAGTTATACGAATTTTGAGTTAGCAATGCAATGCCGAAAACTAAAGGTTGTATATAATAAGCAAAAGTTTACTGGAATTATTTTTTCCTATATAGAAAACCAATTGAGCCCTATGCTTTTCTAAGTGCCCATGAGTTAAACTTTGAAATTGGGCGAACATGCAATTTTCTGTCTGGACTGTATTACAGTTTGCAACAAGTTGAGTTGTACTTGGACGTTTTCTTGTCCAACTGCCTAAGGTTCACTTCTACAATTGAGGTTAGGCGAGTAACTTAATTTTCATTTGTCAACAAAAACAATTTCAAGTTCCCTTTTTACCCCCTTTGATCTAAATAAAGTTTCCATCTTTATCTCTCCAGCCTCATTTTGTTTTGGGGTTCTGAATCAAGGTGTATGCACTAGAAGGGATAGAGTGAATGCTCTACCATGTTAATTATACGAGTAGGTTCAATTTCTTATTCTCAGGTAGTAATGAGTGACATAAGTGTAGTTGGAAGAATTTGCTCTAACGAGTCCAATTTGTAACTTAACATGGTTCACTCAGGTGATGCATCTTGGTATTATCAGGTGACAGCAAATCCTTGGGATTTGTCCCGAGTACCAGGTGGTTCATCAGGGGGCTCAGCTGCAGCTGTTTCTGCTAGACAATGTATGGTATCATTGGGAAGTGATACTGGTGGAAGTGTTAGGCAACCAGCATCTTTCTGTGGTGTTGTTGGTCTGAAGCCAACGTATGGGCGTGTCTCAAGATATGGACTTGTGGCATATGCTTCATCTCTGGATGTTATCGGTTGTTTTGGCTCATCAGTTGCTGATGCAGGCCTTCTCCTTCATGCAATATCTGGTCATGACAAGTATGACGCAACAAGTAGCAAGCGAGTAAGCT